CACACACAAATGACTTAATACATATTTCATTTTTTTGACAGGCAAACCACATACTGATAATATGTAATAACTGCTAAACACCTATTTTCGAAAAAAAAAAATATATGGAAAAGATCCCACTAACATATTTACAATAACTACCAAAGCCCCATAATTTAACTCACCTTCTGTAACTAAACCCACTAGCATATATTTATCCGGTTTTGCTATGAAGCCAACAATTAGCTCCATAGTGGAGCCAACTTTCTATGTACAACAGGTAAACCTACCATATTAATAAAATTATATTACTATTATTTAAGTAATCAACGAATATGGTAGGTTTATTGGTGTATATAGAAGGTTAGCTCTATTACGGAGCCAACTGTTGGCTTCATAGCAAAACCATATACTTATCTACTTCAAGTTACACTTCTTTAAACAGTTATTAACTAACCACCCTTTTCATATTCTTTAATTAACATAAATAATATTTTATTATTATCTTAAAACATGGATTAAGCAGCATAAGAGATATGAAGATATATGGCTTATCTCACAAGGTACAACTTTTTCTTTTTTTCTGCTAAATTTTTTTTGTCTATGGGAGATTCAGTATACGGAGCAGTCACAAAAAAGTCTTAATATACTGCATGCTCTATCTCTCATTTTTCCTTTATAATATGATAATAAAAATAATTTTGTCTTCATTTAAATGCAATTTCATTTGGTAGACTTTGAGTTCATTTTCTATAAGACTATAATCACCAACATGGTTGTCGGGTAAGATCGGATCAGCCATGTGGCCGTTTAGTGAGTCATCTTAATTTCTGTATAACGAACTCTGTTTATTTGTTGTATCTTTTATTTTTGTTCTTCAGAGAAGCATTGTCGTAATCTTCATACTGTATCAAGAAGTTTTATGTGTAGAGTTTCAATAATGAAATTAAATTAGAATGTTATGTTGTTATATTAAAAGTATTTTTCTTTTGATAAATTATATTTGTAAGTTGTAGAGAAAACAAGATGAATGTGTACTTTTTATTTTTATATTTGGCATTTAAAATCTTTTTTATGATTATTTTCTGCATTTGCATTTATTCTTCAGTACTCACAGAGTCACAGTTATTAGTATTAGTTGGATTACTGGCAGATTACTCACTCATATGTTCATAACGAATGGATTATGTCTCTCTTAAGTCTTATCATGTTTCATTTAATTTAGCTTCAACATCATTTGTGACCAAATCAAGTAAAAGTACCATAAAATTAAAGCATTAATTGTTAATTGAATGTGAAAAAAAATTATTAAAAAAAAACTATATATGAATACATCATGGCATTCTTCTCTTCAAAAAAATCACTAAATTAACCCTTCGCTAACCCTAACCCCCTTCTTCTTCTTCTTCGCTCGTCAACCCCGCAAATCAGCACCGTTTGCCTTCCTGAGCGGCGATTCAGCAGGTGCCGACGGCCGGCTTTCGGCCACCCGGCCCCCATCCATTAATTCGTGCCTCCTTCTGCTTCTATGCTTGGGTGTGCTTCGGGTTTCGTTCGGGCTTCGGCGCCGATTTCAGTTCAACTCGATGGCTTCTCAAGCGTCGGTGGTGGTGGCTGGGGTGCGTTTCGTTTGGGTGGGAGTAGCCTCGGTCTTTCGATGGTGTTGGCGTTGGATGGTCGGAGCTCCGCCGTGTTTCTCGGCTTTGCTCCCTGTCTCTGGTGTTGGGGCAGGGCGTCCATTGCTCCGTCTCCGGCCAGTGGTGTTGGACGGGATGGCGTGGTCGTGGGCGGGGATCTTGGCGGTCCGGGTGTGTCAGGGGCGGAGCCAGCAGTCCCGACATCTTTTTGCTTCCCTTGTTTCCATGCTCTGTGGCTCGGGGGTTTCTGGGCTCTGTCGGACTTGGGCTCTCTAGTGGTGTTAGAGGGTTCGGTTCAATGGCGGTTCCCGAGTGGATTGGTGTTGCGGTTGTGGTTCGAGTTGGACGTGAGGTGCTGTTTCAGGGTTTGGTCCTCGTCTTCGCTAGGCCACCGAGTAGGTGTTTGGGCAGTTTCGGAGCGGGTCCTATTGGCTTTGGGATGCTCTTTGGTTTGACTTGGTCCCGTTGGCTCTGGTTGGTCATGCTGTTTGGGAAGGGCTCTTTAGTTTATTTTTGTTTCTTGTTTTTTCGTAGGTCTGTGTTTTGTTTGTTTTGTAGGTATCGTGTTTTTGGTTTGGGCCGTTGGCCCCGGTTGATTCTCCTGTTGAGAGCTAGTTGATTCTCCTGTTGGGAGCTTAGAAGTTATTTTGGTAGTTTGTTTTTGTTTGTTTGTGGATTCTAGTGTTGCTAGTGTCGGATTTAGACAGATCTTCTGACCTGTTCTCTCAGTTTTATTCAGCTTTTGGCTACGGCATGGAGTTGTAATTTGCACATTTGTGCGTTTTGATCTATAAAATTCTCTATCGTTTCGGAAAAAAAAAATACATCATGGCAGGAATGTCATTAAGTTATAAAATAACGGTTAATGTATCAATACAATGAAAGTGCAACATCAAATAAGAAAATATAGAAAAAGAGTATATATGACCATTCCAATGAAAGTGCATCATCAAATCAAAAAATAGGAAAGGAGTATATATAACCATTATAATGTTCATTAATTATATTTAGCTAGAACAATAATACTTTGACAATGAGTATATAATTAGATAGAACAATAATACTTTGAAATGAAAAAAAAAAAAGTCAGCACTTTTACTCAAAATGCCAACACTATTATGATTTTTTTCATGCAAAGGAAGATCTATTTTAAAAACTTTCGATATTTGAGTTTCAGAAACATACAACTTTGGACATTTTAAGCTTTAGAAATAAAAATGTTGCATTAAAATATATATATATATATATAGTTAACTCTATGTTATTTCCCAAGCTAAAAGAGAATGAGTTGAAAATATTAATTTAAAATTTACAAGACAATAGGTAAAGGAAGATATTGTACATTAATATTTGTACAATTTATAATTTATTTTAAAAATAATATTTTTATTTGTAATACCCGTGCATTTGCACGGGGACAATACTAGTGTGTATATATATATATATATTTGTTTTTTTATATAAAATTTTCAAATTAAATAGATTTAACTTAAAGATAATAGTGATATTTGGGAAAAAAATGTATTTGTTGCATTAATGACGCTTCTTGAATTTTTTACTAAAAATGTCTCAATATAAAATAATTTTCATCTTTTCTAAATAGATAAAGACATTATTTCTATTCTATAGATAAAATGGTATAGACTAATTCAAATAAAAATGCACAAATATCAATCAAAATTAAAAAAAAAATATGTTAAATACTTAAAGAAAAATTATATATATAATGACTCAATTTCGACCAACATATTTTTCACTTTTTTCTGATTGACAAAATAAATTCAATAATATATTTCTTCGCAAAATAAGTTCGATACTGATCAGAATGACGTGCAAGGTAAATCACTTTTTGTAAAGCTAGAAATAGGCACAATAATCGTTAATGTTCTTGTCAATAATAAATTACTTATTTTTTGCATGTAATTTATGTGAAATATAATTTAATAAAAGTTTTTTAAAGGTACATTAAATAAGAAAAATAAATATACATTTTATTATATAAATTATTAAATAATAAAATTTATTTTGGTAAAACGGACATTTATTATGTA